AATAGATGCGCTATTCTTCACCAGTTTTAGCCTGTGGCTTGCCTTAACACATTCACGACGACGCCCCTTTTCCGCTTTTCGGTCGCCTGGGACGGGTGCGTGTTAGTGGGCGCCGCCGCCTCACCACATAACCGCAGATTTTGTTTTGTAAATGAACAAAAACATGAATGTCACAAAATAATTTCTGCAATGTCCAATGTATAAAGATTGACTAAACATATAACAAAAGGACTTCGATCAGAACGACAAATAGTAGTTACGAAAAGGGAGCATTTATTCACTTTCCCCGTGAAGGAATTTAAAAGCATTTTGCACTCGATTACGAGGTTTGCCCCCCTATCTGTCCATTCCTAGCGCCTGTCCAGCGATTATCAGTTGGCAACCCATATGGGCTGCCATCGTCCCAGGAGCGCATGTTGTTGGCAGCCCATATGGGCGGCCATCGGCGTGAATGTGTTAAAGACGAGTAGACGGGGGTGATGGAACTGATAGCACAATTGCCCTTCATGCAAGAGATGCGGGATTGAATCCTCGGGCGAATGTTTGGCCCTTAACTCAGCATCTTGTGAAACTCAAAGGACGGTTCCACGATAAACTTGGAGGTCGAAGAACGGGAAATATGCTAATTGTAAGTCGAAAAGGAGGCGGGCCCCTTCAGGCATGGATCATTCGCATTTTGCAGCGAAGAGGATGCCTCTAGCGGCCTAGAGGGGCCATAGCTGCTACGCTTGTGCGGCTGCCCGCCCACACTTGCTTCGCTTGACTCTAGCATCTCAGTAGATGGATTGTTAACGTTGAAGAGGGCGGCACCGATGAATCGCTTCAAAGCGGAAATCATTTTGAGAAGAGGAGGTCGCAATCCTTGGGCTCTGGGCCGTCTATCATGGTTTTTTCCTCAACTCCACACCACAGATCATTTCTACCGTGATTGCTAGTGGGCTGCCTTTTCATCGTAAACTTCGTATTCGAACTGTTTAGGTGATTGTTTGGCAGTAGAGGCGAAGGGGTTCGTCCGGTTCTCATCTCTTCCGTTCATCTTATGCGAATAAAAAAGTGTTTACAGACAGCTTCGGCATGGAGGGTACACCATCTTTCCAAGCTACTAAACACAGTTCCGCGTTTGAAATAGAAGAAAAAACTCACTGCATCACGAACCCTTCTCTGCTGAAATTGTATGTATGATTTTCGCAGATAGCTTTGCTCTGTGGACCTGCTGGTCTGGGAAAAACAACATTGGCCAACGTTGTTGCTCGACAAGCTGGTTATGCCGTTGTGGAACTCAATGCCAGTGACAGCAGGAATGTGCCTGACTTTGAGAAGGCTCTTGAAGGTGCCGTTCGTACATCTCGAACACTTGACCAGGTTAGCAAATCGTTAACTATCTATTACTTCCACTTTTTTCGATTCGCAATACTATTTCTTACTTCAGCCCTCTTTTTGCAGAAGTCTCGCCCAAATTGCTTAATTCTTGATGAAATTGATGGCGCTCCTGTCGAAGCAATACGTTATCTCGTCAAAGTGACCCAAGCTGTTGGAAAGAAAGCAATACGTCGTCCTATCATTTGCATTTGCAACAATATGTATGTCATCCATTAAAATTAAGTGCTCTCTCGGAAATGCCAGAAAAAACTTCGAAGCGTTCGCCACTTCCAAGAACAATTGTCTAGGTACACTCCTGCTCTGCGAGAGCTTCGAGCCGTCGCCCTCAATGTTCAAGTGGGGCCAACTGCAAAAGAGCGCCTCATTCAGAGGCTTACGACAGTGAGTTCGAGAATCTTTAGAAAGGACTTCGGATTTTTTCGTCATTTTTTGTTCATCACCTAAAAGTTTGACAAGTTGCTAATGAGTGTTTCACAATCAATCTGTGATTTTCCAAGAAGACCACATTTGATACCACCTATTTTATGTCTCGGAGAAGCTTTTATCTTCAAACAGGGCGGAAGTGGTGTAGTGGCAAGTGGCACGCTTACCACGCGAGCGGTCCGGGGATCAAATCCTGGGTCGTGAGTCGCCCGGGCCAACCAAGCCTTCCATCCCTCCGGGGTCGGTTAATTGGTACCAGACTTGTCTGGGAGGATAAAAACACTGACTTGTACATCGGCTGGCCCCGCAAGTCATTGTATAGGCCACATCGCATTCAAACGCCACTACGAATGTACAAATGGAAGTAGAATGCGTGCCGCATCCCAAAAAGGGATTGATCAACGGCAAATGCTTTATCCTTTATGCTTTATATTCAAACAGTTTTCTCTCTCTTGGTTCTTGAAACTATTTTGTGGGGATATGATCTGCTAATCCCGGATTATACATAAACTTGAAGATTACTGAAGAGAAATGTTACAGATTGCCGAATTGGAAGGTGTCCGCATAGATCGATTCGCACTACAGCGGCTTGTGGAATTGTGCCAGTGCGATGTTCGGTTCTCAATCAACACACTCCAGTTTGTGTCAGTTCTTGCTCAGAAGCAGCGGCGTTACGTTTCTATAGATGACATACAAAAGGTGAAATATTAATCCGGATTTTTAAATAATTTGTCGTATTCGGTACAGTTGCATAAGAGGTAG